ATGATCTCGATTATCGATCTGTCCATGCTGCTGCGCGCCACGGTAGGACGTGATACTCGGCCAACCCCGTCTGGCACCTAATCCGCGCATCAGCCAAGAAACGCAGACAAGCCTGATGGTGCTGGTAAAGCGTCAGTATATAGTGGTAACAAGAGAAACCTACAACACAGGTTAACTGTCGTCGGAGGTTCTTCTGGGAATGCTGAACTCTTTTGATATAAGTTCTTATGTTATTCCTAAAAAGCTTAACTGAAGGTTATCATTAAATGCAGGTTAGAGGTAAGCATGAAACCGAAAGCTCTGTGCAAAATAAAACGATAATATGACTAACCCTATGTTGGTAGGTGCTCTTGGAGCACACTATATGGCGTGTGATATTGGCGTGACCACGTATGCTGAAGGTGGAGAGGAATGATATAATGGTATGGTGTGACCGGCGTTATTAACCGCAGGTTTTAATGGTGGCTCATGTGGTCCTATAAACCCATGTTATGTTTTCATGTGCGTGGATAGTGTTGGCACTGACAGTGAGTGGGCGACTGTATGTCGGAACCCTAAACACTGGTTCGCCAATGTCTGTGCGATAGATTTCCAAAAAAGTGAGCAGATCAATTCATTATGCGCCTAAGCTGTGCAGTGATAGCAGGGTAGATCGATGAGCTGGTGTTGCCGTTGGTGGTGGTCACGCTGGATGATGGCGTGGGGCTGGAATTCGTGATGGGAGTGTAGGAGTTTCTAGGTGTATAGTCATCGCAGTGAATGCCACTGTCATGTATGTGGTCAAGTAGGCTCATGCAGGTATAAGATGCATCAGGGAAGTGAGTGCAGTGAAGGTGGCGGTCTCTGCTCTGTGCTGGTGCTCCAGGCACTGGTTCAACAACATCTGAGTGATGGATTCGCAATTGGCTGACTAGGCGAATGTGTGAAATGAATGTGTAGTCGCAATCATAGCAGATAAGGCTCGAGTCCGCAGTGCTAGTGGAGGGATCAGATGTCGTGATGGAGGTGGTGGTAGATGTTGTTGCGTCGGAGGAGATGAGGAGAGTTGGGAATATGGTGTCCGTAATTGTCGGCGTTTTGGGTATTGAGGGGTCGCAGTAGGCAGGGTGAGGACAGTGGCTCATCAGGTGGTTGAGCGTCCATGGTGGGGATGGTCGTCATTGGAGTACTGGAATGCGGATTGATGCTGCGGGAAGTTGACTTTCACTTAAAACGTAACTCGCTCTCAAGTCACTGCATTACCTGTTTGGAGCATAACTTAGACATCAACAAAATAGATGGCCGGAGCTGTCGCGTGCAAAACCGGGAGTTGTTAGTTGCTTACGAACCTGTCTTGGCGCTGGACCGACACAACGTTTTATCATGGGACTTTCAAAGGCTACATCAATCGTCTAACCAGCTTAGCCAGCATGTTCTTCCGATCACTTCCGTGGAGGACAAGGATGCTTGTAAGCACATATTCCCATCAGCTACCTTGCTTATTCATTAGTACTGAACTACTGACACAATTACAGGATATAGCAATGTGGCACCAGTACTACTACACTTCTTGTTGGGACTGAGGGGATATGAACCCTGTGCTGACTTTAACCAGCGTCAATTCTGAATTACAATACAGACTGAAATATTACCAGCGAACATATTACTCAGATGCACCCTAACAGTAACATTAGAAATAGCAGTAGTGGTTGTTTAGCAGAACGAGGCCTGGCTTCTTAGAATCAGGCTAGACGTTTACTATAGGTGAGTGGGAGTAGACAGTGCAGTAGTACCGGCGCAAAGTCTACTGTCGCTATATACTAAGCTTAGGCGGTGTTTACGGCTGCGGCCTACGCCCACTCTCTGTGCGGCCATCTCGACTTGTCTTGTCGCCGTTTAAATGCAGTTGAGAGGGTTAGAGTGGGGTAGATGGCGGCGCGCCTACCATCACTATACCTGACCAAAGTCACCGTCCCTGCTCTTGAGCAAATGGTGGACATCTTCGCTTGCGATGGT